CATAAAAAGTCATATTTCATATAACTACTAGTTAACATGAATCTGCATCGATATTGTAAACTGAAGGGTAGTTTGAAATATTACGTATGGAAATAAAAACTCGTAGAATGACGGTGAATTTTTTAATTTTACACCGTAGATGCGCCATCTTGTTGTCCGACTAACTTGTGATTTACGTAGCTAGGTGTTGTAGTTATTTCTTTAATATTTCTTAAATATTTTTTTAAAATGAGTGATGGCCGATCATCTCCAAGTATTGAAGATTTATTATCAAGAAATCCGAGGAATAAATCGGATCCCGGTCCGAACAGGAGAAGAGAAGTTGATCATGCACAGATAGCATCCTGCATGTCTCATATCTCTCAATATGAGCCATCAACAATGCCAGATGTAACCATGCCAACTGATACTAACTCGCCAAGAAAGGGTACAGAATCTGATTCTTCTCTTGACGGGTTTACATTGCCGTGGTCACCAGAGCCGGATCAGATAAAACCATCAGTTATAATAACAGCTCCAACAGAACCCAATACCCCATCTGCGTCGAAACTATCCCGCAAATTAACCAAGCAAGATGAGCAGGTAAAGACGAAATCTCCACTCACGAAGATGATAGAAAAATCCATATTCTCACAAGATCAAATAGTCACGCCAGGCTCATCTGTGGAGGTTCTACATGATGTACAAAGTGATAGTCCAGAGGCATCAAGACCTACGAGTTCCTTACCAGCCATTGTTCTACTCGAGCACAGTTCATTAGTGAAAAGTGAATTGTCAGTTACTACAGCAATAAAGCCACGTGTGATTATTCAATCGAATTTGCCTCCACCTGTGGGATCGCCTATAGAACCGGATACACGGCGCACGAGTTTAACTTTAAGTGATTCTCCAAATCCATCCAGATCTCCAACGATCCCAATTCTAAACGTGGATGGTGGATGGTCACCTGAACAGTTATCCGCTGCTTCTATCGCAGCAATTAACGATTCTATGGATACTGTCAATACGGTGTCTTATTCTTTGATGAATTCAGACTCGGATACCTCTATTTCTACAGAGGTAGGTTATGACACTCTGTCTTCTTGTTCGAGATCTGCGGAGAATTTGACAACAGAATCAACAAGTCTATCTACATTATCTGTAAGTAGGTTTTTATTGCTATTTTCTATTAGTCCATGTTTGTATTTCTTAAATATCTGGATGATTGTAACCTTTAGATATAATAATAATCTCAGGACAATTCACACAGCGCCATCTAGACCCAAGTTAAGCTAGCTAATGCTTGTGTTATGAGTACTAGATAACTGATACAAATACATAGATATTTTTTCGTAAATACATACATATTATACATAGAAAACACCCAGACCGATTCAAACAATCATACTCGTGAATACAAATGTTTGTGCCGCGCGAGGAATCGAACCCGCGACCATCGGACGTAAAGCGGTGTGCTAGACCGCTAGACCACAGAGGTCGTCGAAGTAGATATGTTATAAAGATAATATTAAATGTTATATAAAATAAAAACACATAATCTACTAATTATTTCTTTCAGTGATTCAATTTTTCTTTTAATTAAATAATTAATTTTATTTAATTTGAATAAATTATCATACAACTGCATTTTTTTAGTCAGTTATATGTATTAAATATTATATGTAGTAAGTTTTACCTAAAAGTATTATATATCTAACGATAACATAGTATATTTTTATATTATTTATAAATATGCAAACTTATTACTTTCTGTGTTAATTTCATTGGTAGATAGTTAAATTCTATGATTATGATTTTGCTTTACTTATGGATATATTTGCCCTCGTACACTTAGCTTGTATTATAATAATAATAATAATATCAGGACAATTCACACAGCGCCATCTAGACCCAAGTTAAGCTACCTAAAGCTTGTGTTATGGGTACTAGATAACTGATACAAATACATAGATATTTTATTTTCGTAAATACATACATATTATACATAGAAAATACCCAGACCGATACAAACAATCATACTCATGAATACAAATGTTTGTGCCGTGCGAGGAATCGAACCCGCGACCATCGGTCGTAAAGCGGTAGACTAGACCGCTAGACCACCGAGGTCGTCAATTGAGAATACATTATTAATGTATATATAAATAAATAAATAAAAATACAAAGCAATTTTTGTATAATACATGTATGTAGATAGCTAATGGGCAATAATTCCAGTAAGAGAACTGAATCTAAATAATGATCATTTCAAAGTTGAATTCAAATCTTTTTCAGGCTAATTTTAACCTATTTTGTTATACAAGTTTTGTTGCTATATAGTAAAGTATTATAGTAAAATATTATATATAAAATTCTCGTGTCACAATGTTAGTTAACATACTCCTCCGAAACTGCTGGACAGATTTTTATGAAATCAGTAGGTCTGAGAATCTATTTTTTATAGCTTAAATAATAAGGGTTGTCCAAACCTAACATTTATCTTTAATTTTGTGGACAATTTTTTTTAATATGGTGCGTTTAAAATACACACAACCCTATATTTTTAATCGGCTACTATCTATTTTTTATACCTTAAATAATAAGGGTTGTCCAAACCTAACATTTATCTTTAATTTTGTGGACAATTTTTTTTTAATATGTAGCGTTAAAAATACACACAATCCTATATTTTTAATCGGTGACTATCTATTTTTTATACCTTAAATAATAAGGGTTGTCCAAACCTAACATTTATTTTTGATTTTAGTGGACAAAATTTTTTTTTTAATATGCAGCGTTTAAAATACACACAACCCTATATTTTTACCCCTCTAGCATCAACCCCTATTTTTCATTAGCGATTTTAATTTACATGGCAAAACGTTTGTGGGATCAGCTATTAATAATAGAACAACAATTTTTGATGTTTATATGTTACGTGTTACATTCAATTTTGTATCATTTTTGAGGTTTTCGGTTAATTAACAAAGATTACACGTTCTTGGCATTGGATGCGGGCAGCGCAGGACCGATCGTCGTGGAGATCTTTGGGGGAGGCCTATGTCCAGCAGTGGACGTCTTCCTGGCTGCGATGATGATGACACGTTCTTTGATTTTTTTTTACTAATTGTTACATAACTTAACTACCTACATTGTCAGTAATATATGTATTTACTTAAATCTATATGTAGTTATAAGTAAATATATATACATATAAATGCGTACAGTGCAATATTAATGATTTCTACGGTTTTGGAGAAGTTTTTTTTTTCAGTCAGCCATACTTAACACATATTTATTTTTTTTTAAATTGATTTTATTTATAACATGTTTTTATGTTATTTATAAAATAATAGATATATTTATATCAACACCACAACAATAATGATGTCACATACTTTTATTTTTTACTTAAATCATTGACTATATCATTTTTATATCCAATCACAATATTATACGTTTGCATTCTGTCTGTTCAGGTTGATTGTAATAATTTATTTACAGCGATTTTTATTTGATTTAATACCGTCTTTTGTAAGGCACTTTCTAATTTATATTTTTTTTATTTAACAAAATGATTTCTCATTTTTAAATTATTTTAAAACTGATATTCCGCAGCGAATAGGATAGGATCCAAACTGTTGCTATTATTATTATTATAAATAGTCTTTTTTGTTTCAGACGTGATTTTTTTTATGAATTTTTTTTGGGTTATTGTTAATTTTTATATGCAGAATGCAAAGTTTCTCAATGATACAACCACAATGTAGTGGATATATAAATAATTGCTTTCCATTACTGATATGTCTGTTTATCAAGGTCGTCCTCCCAAAGGTTGATTATAGATAAGATTATATTATGTACTACTTGTTCTGTTATTACTATTGTTGATAACAAACAAAAGGGCCCTCACAGGACACTGCAAATTAAACAAGCATATGGCGAAACTAGGCCTATGTATAACAAAAATCTGTAGATTCTTCAAACTGAAGAGGAAACGACACTATGTGGTTGTAGCCCACTCATGCATAAAGGAAATATCTCCTTTGGAAAGTTTACACTCTATCCTGAGGAGATAAAAACCATCGCTCCTAAGAATATCCTTCAATTCTTGTCCCTGACGGGTCTAGGTAGCGAACTTTGAAAAAGGGCGAGCACAATAGATCTATATAGGTCGCAGTGCTACAGGTGCTACAGACACCTAAAAATCCCAATAAAAATATAACAAACAAAAAAATAAGTGCATTATTCACATAGCTGAAAATCAGTGTTTTGCTCCTTGAGTGATTCTCCACACTGAGCTATGTACCAGTTTTGTACTGCTGTAGCACACACTTGCAGGTTTAACCTTATTGAATTGTTATATTATACTTGTCATATGATGTTATAATTAAGTCTATATGTGTGTACTAAGATACAAATAAAATCTTTACTTCTAACGGTCTTGGGTTCGAACCCTGTATTATGTCATCTGTGCCTGTACCGAGATTTGTATATATCTGTACGCTTTGATTTTTTATTATTATTTTCTTTATTGATTGCAAAGGTCAGTTTTTGTCAATTTTGATAGAATTTATATATTTTAATGATTATCTTTACATAGTATAAAATGAAGTCGCTTCTGGCATCTGTTCGCTTAGATCTTTTAAACCATTTAATGTAGTTTAGGTTTAATGTAGTTTTCAGCAATAGATAGAGTGATTCGAGAGGAAGGTTTATATATATAATACATGTACACCCAATATTTTAAGGAAGGTATTACATATGAATGTGGATGGTTATAAGAGCAGTTGAAGGCCGAAAAAGAGATGGATGGACTGTGTGAAAGATGATATGGTAAGAAAGGGAGTGAATAACGAGATGACTGCGAACAGGGATGAATGGATGAGAAAAACATATTACGACGACCACAAGGAAGAAGCAGATGATGATAATGTAATCCTGTGTGAAGTCGGAGTGGGTAGCGAGTTCCCTTTAAGTGGAATTAATTAATTTATATATATATAATTGTATTGTTTCAGTCCGAAGATCGATTTGCTGGCTACAAAGGAGTCCGAGATATTACCATCAAAAAAGTATGTTGTTCAAATTTAAAATCGCAAAATCAATTTATTTTTTTCACTCGTTATTTTGTTCCTTTATTTTGGTGTTTCCAAAAGGTCTTTGGATAATATTAAAGTGATTTTGTTTTAAATTCATATAATATTTTTTTTTAATATCTAACCATGTTAATATAACTAATATTTGGTAAGTTTAAGAAATGCATATTTCTATTTTTATGCTATATTTTGCTATTAAATTTATTGTCATCATATTTTATTGATTTGAGAAATATTAATTTATACATTTCTTTATTAATAAATAAATAATTAAATTTGAGTAAATTTTCTTGTTTAATGTCACAATCATTGGGAATTTAAGAATTTACTGATATGACTTAATTGGTAGGGTCCGTCAGGATTAGGCCTGATGATTATCGAAGGTCGTCATGCAGAGGCAGGCCGCGGTATCTTCGTCTCGGATCTTCAGGAAGGCAGTGCAGCAGAACAGGTCCGTGATGATTATTTAGACAGTTCATCATCATTGAAATTAATATTACTCGTTTCGGCAATTACTTCATCATCATTGTCTTAACCCTATTTTGTTTTGACATTTCTTCATCTAAGACATTTTCTTCCATTTCTGCACGTTACATTTTTTCTTCACCATTTTTTACACTACCGTCTAGTACGGCTGATTCATTTAGTTGAATAGAATTGGCATGAAACTCATCTAGTATTAACAATGGTGTTCTTCTATGGTCAAACCACTTTATTTTTTGATAATTGGCTTTACTAAGAGCGTACATTCCATAATCTGCCCATCTTGTAACAAATATATTTCTCTTTTATATTATCACTACATTTCTAATTACATTTCATTAGTTGTTAATGAGTTTATAATTATATCATTGACAGTAATTATTGTATTCAAATTGATTATCTAGAATGGTATGGCATAACTGTTATCAATATTATATATTCGGGCTTACCTGTTTTCTATGATAAATATACATACAGATTCTAATTGTATGTATTTCCTTATCAATTTAATAATATATTTATATTTATATCTCTCCTTGATTGATAATAATTATTTTTTCCGTCATTACCTAAGGATTCACATGCTTTTATTTATTTATTAAATAGTTATCTTCATAATAATCTACTATTAGTATTGTTTATATCTCTCCTTGATTCATAATCATTAGTTATTCAATCATTATCCAAGGATCCTATTTGTGTATTTTTATTGAAAATTCCTTTATTTAATTTTTTTGTGCACTATCCTATCCACTTTTTATAACAACGTTATCGCATTGTCTTATTACTTCACCCTTGCTTGCTATTACATTTTCTGTTTGCAAACTATCTGTTATGCTTTTTTCTGTTACTTTATTATTTTCGCAATTTTTAGTGCTGTTTTCATTTCTTTGCTTTATTTGTGAATCACTGACATTTTTGTAGTATTTTTTTTCTAGACCATTCATCATCATCATTGTATTGCTTGAAGATATATAGCCAATATTTCCATATTTATAGTTACCTGATGAGATTTACAAATGCAATTACAGGCTGGACTCCAAATTGGAGATATGATTTTGGCAGTCAACCGAGACTCCTTGCTTCGGTGTAGCTACGATGCTGTAAGTTATTATTATCTTTATTTTAACATCATTCATTGAAATTACTATTTGTTTATTTTTTATAATCTTCATCATTATTCCTTCATCACTTAAGTATATAGGGAAAATTACATTTATGTTCATCACTATTCCATTATCATCTACTTCAATTTACATTTATTTCTGTTGTTATTTACTAGTATTATTTGCAAATTTCATTAGCTTAATTTCTATATACCTCTCTATTGCAAGATACCTCTTGAACGTATCATTCTACATGTACAAAATTTATGGACATGTTTTTTTTATTTAATGATAATGAAATTGTGCATACGTCTAACGGTGTACGCTGGGGCATCAGTGGGGATGATAAGATGAACAAGGTCAGACCTGTTAGCATCGTAACAAATTCACCAGGAATTTGTCATGATGGTTTTCAGGGGGTATGGAGGTCAACCTGATAAGATACTTTGTTAGGTCATCAGTCCACATTACTAATCCTTTCTCTTCGGGGATATTCATCTTCGTTCTACAAGAATTCGATTAACGTAGATCAAATAATCTGATGAGGTTAGGAAGCTAAATTGGGTAAATATACGCGAATTTTACATTTTATGTGTTCGTAATGGCTAAAAGTTTTAAGGTTGGATCTCTACATACTTTGTTTTAATGCGAATAAAAATTCATTTCTTTTGACTGTTATGGGGGTAGTTGATCATTGGGCTCCCTAAAATATTGTCGAGCGCAATGATGGCTGGTTCATCCGTCATACTCGTGAACGAGTGCTGCTCGTAGGGACTGGTCTGCTCTCATCACTACGACTGATTTAATTGTGTATTTATATTTGACCCTAATAAATTAGTGCTGGTTGGTAGTTTGCATTCACACGTTTCGACTTGTAAATGTGAACTTACAAGGATTATTTAAAAGAGCGAAAGAGCAACAACACAAGTTTCTTGCTCGTTCTGCTTATGATGAGACAGCTTTCCGAATGAGCGGTAGATTAAAAAAAGTGTTATGATTATTCAAAATTCAAAATCATTTATTCATGTAGGACATTTTAGCATCTTATGAACGTCAAATTTTTACATTATATTTTTTTCCCTTTCGTCCAGTTCGGTATATAGATTCAACTGAGAAGAACTGGCAAGAAACTCAATTGAATTACTGTTTTTTAAAAAAGCGAGTTTATTTACAATGTATATATATATAGGTGTCTATGTCTAACATTAAATGAAAATCCAGTGCATGAACAACTATTGCCATGCACACTCGTCATTCCAGTAATCTTTTAGTGAGTAATAGGCTTTGCTCAGTAAATATGATTTATTATATCATATTCTATTCTATTTCTATTCTATTCTATAACCTAATGCCATTACTTAACACTCTTAGATACAACTGCCTGTTTGTAATATTGAAATAACTGTCTGTCGGTCTGTTTGTTCCGGCTAATCTCTGAAATGGCTAGACCGATTTTGACGGGACTTTTTTTTGGCAGGTAGCTGATGTAATAAGGAGTAACTTAGGCTACATTTATTTTGGAAAAATAAACTTGAATTCCATGCGGACGAAGTAGCGGGAACAGCTAGTTTATACATATGATAGTATTTATTTAGTAAAACCAATACTCTTGACTCATGAATATTTCGATATGTTATTGGGAAAATAACAACAAAAAACAATCCAATATTATTGTACATTACAAATTTTTAGGCACTAACAAATGTATATCTATATGTGTACATGTTTTGAAGAACTACTATATCTACTAAAATATTTTTCCAAGTTATTGCAACATTTTTCACTAATGCTTCGCTTCTATTGGTCGTAGCGTAATACCTATAACTCGGTGTTTCCCCAATTAGTGGTATGCGTACCCCCAGGGGTACGTGAAGTTGCATCAGGGGGTACGTGGGGCTATCAGTAAAACATACATTCACACACACACAAACTTTCACATTAATAATTTTAGTGTGATTGCTACAATAAGCGGTACGCAAGGTTTGAGGTCTTTTTTGAAGTGGTGCGCAGAAAACACTATTTGGGAACCACTGCTATAGCTTAAAACCTTGCTCGACAAATAGACTATCCAACACAAAAATAATTTTTCAATTCGAACCAGTAGTTCCTGAGATTAGCATGTTCAAACAAACAAACTCATCAGCTTTATAATATTGGTAGATATGACCCTAAATTACTATGTAATATTATAAAACAATTTTAACGATTCAGTAACGAAAATGATAAATAAGTAAACAACGAAAATGAATTATATTTATTAACTTGCTTTGAATTTAACATTCTTTTTCTAACATAAAAGATTTTTTCTAAATAAAAGTAGCGTAAGTTACTCCTTATTACATCAGCTACCTGCCAAAAAAAGTCCCGTCAAAATCGGTCCAGCCAGTTCAGAGATTAGCCGGAACAGACGGACAAAAATTGTAAAAAATGTTATTTCGGTGTGTCGATCTCGGTGTTTTTTTGTATATTTACAAAACAAATGAATCTATGTGTTTAATATCAGTTGTCCAGCACCCATAACATAGGATTGGGGCTAGATGACGCTGTGTGAATTGTCCTGAGATATTATTTGATTTATTTTATTTTAGTTTATATGAGGGGTGGCTTCAAGGGTAAGGGGTACGGGCAAGGATGAATTTTACAGAGTAATTCAATACTTAGTATCTCGAATAAATACTGCTATACGATTACTCTGAAACAGCTTATAAAGCTGTTAGCTGAAATAGGTGAGACTGAGCTGCACCGTCCCACGCAGACGAGGTTTTTACAGTCTACCTTTCTTTTAACTAACTTTTATAAGGTGATCAGCTTAAAGAAGCCACTTTGATAAAGTGGGGATAGATTTCATCTTGTCAACGAAAAGACAGATCTTCAATGATGTCGTTGATCAATGCCGTTAAAATTGGGAGCGATCATCGGATTGTAAGAGGCTCATTGAATCTGAACCTGAAACTCGAGCGATCCCGACTGAAGAAACCTACGCTCCGACCTACACCTATAGAAAGAAAGAAAGAAAAAATGTTAATTCAGTGCTTTTCAACAATGTTACAATATAAAAAAGAAGCAAACGAAAGAAAAGATTAAATATAATGTATATATAATTAAACTTAATTTACCATGTAGATAATTAGAAATAAACATAAAATAATCACTTTTTACATACTGTTACGGGGCGGCAGCAGCAACGAGGAACTATTAATATCTTCTTTCATTTATATGTGTTTTTCACTTCGAACATCTAAACCGAACTGGTCTGTGCACACAATATGGTGGTTCTTTTTAAAGTCAGTAGGTAGGTGGCACTGTTATGGTCAAATCAGAACTTATATCTTGTACTCAATAATAAACATGATTATATCAAACTTGTAGAACATACATTTTATGTCATAATTATAATTAGTTTTAATCTTTACTATTTATATATTTACTTTACAGTTTATAAGCATAAATAATATTTATTAAATAAAAATATATTAGAATAGAATAGAATAGAATAGAAAATCATTTATTCAAATAAACTTACATTGAAGCACTTTTGAATAGTCATTACATTTTTTAATCTATCGCTCGTTCGGAAAGCTGTCTCATCACAAGAAGAACGAGCAAGAAACTTGCGTGTTGCTCTTTTAAATAATTTTATTATTACTTTACATTTTTAAGTTTAAGTGTATTAAATACTCAAATAGAAAAAAAAATTGAATATATAACCAACTGGTTAAACAATTAATAAGAGGAAATCAGTCATAGTGATTAGAGCAGACCAGTCCCTACAAGCAGCACCCGTTCACGAGTATGACGGATTGTGGTATTGTGGTGGTTATCTCACACAAACCAGATGGCGTTGTAGTCGCTGAAATCTGCTTTAGCGAGGCAAGATGGCGAACGGTTGTTGGCGGGAACAATACATACAGGAATTGAAATGGTTCCCTCAGCTTTGATGTATGTCCTATGTGAACATACAGCTGGTTTTCAGTGGCACCAAAACCCCTACAGAGATTGGAAAACTGTTTCAAACGCTTTGATGACTGCGTTGACGTGAACGGTGCCGATTATGATGACGATTTTTTTAAAGGATGGTAATGGAATGGTGCAAGCCAAGACAAGGACACAGAAAAAGAGGACGAGCAAATAGAAGATGGGATGCAGTTAGAACAGCAGAGAAGCTATGGAACTGGATCACACAAGACAGAACAGAGTGGAAAAGATTAGAGGAGGCCTTTGCTTTGAAGCAAGCAGATGACCAAGAACTTGATATTGTATAAAGAGCAAGAAAAAAAAATTAATTCAGAAAATCTGAATAAAGAGCTATAATAAATAAATAAAATGGAATGGTGCACTCGCCTGCGCTAACGGTTTACGCTGGCGGGGCACCAGTGGAGGATGATAAGATGAGCATGAGGTCAGGTCAATTAGCACATCGTGACAAATTCACCAGGAATTTAACATGTTGGTTTGGAACCGCGTGGAGGTACATCGTAGTAACTTTACCAGTATTTTATCACGATGGTTTCCAGGGGTAACCGCGTGGAGGTCAACTTGACATGCCACCTAACTTGGAAACCATCTCAATCCTCTCATCTTATCATCTTCCACTAGTGTCTCCAGCACTCCATTTAACATGATGGTTTCCAGGAGGAATCGCGTGGAGGTGAACCTGATATGGTATTATACCAATTCCTTTCTTCCAATGATATTGTTTTGTCTAATTTCAGGCTGCAGCAAAATTGAAGCAATCTGAAGGACAAGTGAAGTTAACGGTGTGTACTCCCAACTTGAAGGATAAGAAAGAAGATGCACCGTCTGCTGAGGAAACTGGTTCAGCTGCTACTTCTGCACCAGGTGAGTAATATCTAAATATATATAATTGTATCATTATTCCATACTAACTGTGCCCGCGGTTTTACTCGCGTTAAATTTCAATATAGAATATAGCCTATATGTTATCCTGATGCATAAGTTATATTACTGTAAGGTGTAAAGTTTCATCAAAATCTGTTCAGTAGTTTTTGCGTGAAAGAGTAATAAACATCCATACTTACGAACTTTCGCTTTATAATATTACTAGCTACTCGCCCCGGCTTCGCACGGGTATACATGTATTATATGTATAAAACTTCCTTTTGAATCGCTATTAAAAAAATCGCTTCAAAATCCGTTGCGTAGTTTTAAAGATTTAACCATACATAGGGACGGACAGACAGTTACAGCGACTTTGTTTTTTACTATGTAGCTGTTTCAGAGATCCAAAAAAGAAATAGAAAGTCAGGCAAACATTTTTTTTTAAATATTTTTTTTAATGGAAGTTCAGTAAGGTACACACGCTTAATGATTTATTACATTAATTTAAATTACAAACAAACACTTAAATTTTACATTATTTAATTTTATTTATAACTAGCTGTTCCCGCGTCTTCGTTCGCATGGAATTTAAATTTAATTTTCTAAAATAAAATATTTTTTCTGAAATTAAAATAGCCTAAGTTCTTAACTCCTTATTACATCAGCTACCTGCCAAAAAAAGTCCCGTCAAAATCTGTTCAGCCAATTCAGAGATTAGCCGGAACAATCAGACTGACAGACAGACAAAAATTTTAAAAATTGTATTTCGGTATATGTACTGTACTTATGTTCATATGCACGTAGTAAAAAACGGTTATTTCAATATTACAAACAGACACTCCAAATTTATTTATATGTATAGTTATATATATATGTCAATCATCAAATGAAATTGGTTATAAGTGAAAGAAACCTTATATTTTTATTAATTGACGTTATTTTGTAAAAATCTTAAAATGTGTGTATATGTTCGTTGCAGCTGGCACGGCGTCGCGCCCGGCCAGCGGGAACCAAACTCCCGACCCCGGACTGACAGCCGCCAGCTCATCACGCCCGCATTCTCCAAGACCAGCGCCATCACCCGTCAGAAGTAAGGAGTTGGGTGATGATAGTGATGATGATGATAGGGTAGCACAATAAGCAGACACCACCGTAAGTTCAACTTTACTGGCAACTCGCCATGGGAATGCGGTGTCGGAGCAAGCGTAAGTTATGGGTGCATGGTGAACGCATGTGCATGGCTAAACTAGGCCTATGCACGATAAGTATCTGTAGATTCTGCCAAACTGAAGAGGAAACGCCGTTCACATCCTATGTGGTTGTAGCCCACTCATGCGTAAACGAAATATCTCCTTTGGAAAGTTTACACACTTTCCTGAGGAGATAAAAACCATCGCTCCTAAGAATATCCTTCAATTCTTGTCCCTGACGGGTCTAGGTAGCGGACTTTGAAAAGGGCGAGCACAATAGATCTATGTAGGTCGCAGTGCTACAGGTGCTACACATCTGACAATAGCCCAAACAATCCAATAAAAAAAAAAAAATGGTGAACGCATCTCGTAGAAAGTAGATATATTATATTATTTAGATTACTAACTAACTAACTATCTAGGGGCCTGTATAATGACGTCACAATTTCTATAACCTCCCCTCATCCTCCTTATCAGAGTTGATATATTTTCAAACCAAATCAAAAATCATTTATTCATGTATACAAATTTTTTTTTCAATCGAGAATAGACAAGAAACAACTGAATTTTTTTTTTAAAAGACAGTTTATATTTAAATAGATTTCAGTGATGGTCAGGCAACTGTCTAGACCGTACAGCCTAGTCTACGTTGATGAACTGGCAAGAAACTCAATTGAATTCCTTTTTTTTTGGAACAAGCAAAGTTTATTTACAATGTATACGACAAGTTTTTATATAGGTGTGTATGTCTAACTTTTAAATGAAAATCCCTTAGACCGAACATGAACAACTATTGCCTTTTCAGTGATGGAACACGCTCGTCATTCAAGTAATCGTTTAGTGAAAGGTTAATATTTTGTGCCTGATAAATTTAATGAAGAAAGAGGTTCGCCTAACAATGTATAATAAATTTGGTAATATTTGATGTTAACTATAGATTATTTAATTTAACCCTTTTCTTATCTGGTTTTTTTTTCTTTCTTTACGCTGGCGGGGCACCGAGCAGATAGTCTGCCAATCGTGAAAAGATTGTTTAGCGATAAGACCGCCTTTTGTATCAGTTTATATACATTTATTATATAAATTTTGATTTGATATTTGCGGACTTAAACAATGTGAAACTATAAACAGTTTCTAGATGTATTATAATAATAAATAATAATAATAATCTCAGGACAATTCACACAGCGCCATCTAGACCCAAGTTAAGCTAGCTAAAGCTTGTGTTAAGGGTACTAGACAACCCCTCTCCTCAATTGACCCTATGTGACGTAATTTATACACAGACCCCTATAATATTTTAAGTAATGACAAATTGTAGGGGGATAACAAAATAGAAATAATTTTAATTATTCACAAATGTAATTAATTTCACGACCTCGGTGGTCTAACGGTTTAGCACACCGCCTCACTTCCGATGGTCGCGGATTCGATTCCTCGTACAACAAAAAATTAAACTAATTATATTATTTGAAGAATAATAGTTAACCTAAATAGATAGATATAATAATAATATGTAGTTTTTAATTTAGAATATAATAAATTAACTAATAATATTAATTGGATTTTTATATTTATTCTTGTGTATTTACGTTGTAACTCTGTCTTTATGTTACTCTAGCGGTTTAGCATGTTACCGCTTCACTTCCGATGGCCAAATGAAAAAGTTTCATCGCTTTAGCTTCAAAAGTGACGATACAAAATTCCATATAAATTAATCAACAGCCTCAAAAAGCTTCTAGCTTCAAAAATGACGATTCTTTAATACAACCTTTCAACCCCTTTCAACCCTTTTTTCGCATTAAAAAGTAGCCTATGTCCTTACTCAGGGTCTAGACTGTATCAAATTTAATTTCAACCAGTTCAGTAGTTTTGACCTGAAAGCAAGTGCAAACATTTGTTAGTACCAAATTTTCATGAGTATGATTGTTTGTTTCTATTTGTAATATGTATGTATTTACAAAAATATATATCTAAGTATTTATATAATTGTCAACCAGTTCAGTAGTTTTACCCATAACACAAGCTCTGCTTATATTGGGACTAGATACAAGCGCCGTGTTCATTGTCCAGGGTTATTTATTTATTTAATAGATTTAGAAGATGTCGTATTTTAATACTAAATTTGAAATTGCATTGAAAAGCTACCGCGACATAGGAGTACAGAAGGGGTCGCTGTCGCTGTATGTCCGTCCGTCCTGTATGTATGCTTAAATCTTTAAAACTTCGCAACGGATTTTGTAGCGGGTTTTTGTACTAGATAGTGATTCAAGAGGAAGGATTATATGTATATCCAACGTAAAAATATAGATTTAATAAATAGAAACAAGCATCTTGAAACCAGAATTAATACATGTACACCCGTGCGAAGCTGGGGCAAGTAGCTAGTGATATACAATTGACCTCCTTTGACCCTCTCCTCAATTGACCCTATGTGACGTAATTTATACACAGACCCCTATAGTATTTTAAGTAATGACAATTTGTAGGGACATAACAAAATATAAATAATTTTAATAATTCACAAATGTAATTAATTTCACGACCTCGGTGGTCTAACGGTTTAGCACACCGCCTCACTTCCGATGGTCGCGGATTCGATTCCTCGTACAAAAAAAAATTAAACTAATTATATTATTTGAAGAATAATAGTTAACCTAAATAGATAGATATAATAATAATATGTAGTTTTTAATTTAGAATATAATAAATTAACTAATAATATTAATCGGATTTTTATATTTATTCTTGTGTATTTACGTTGTAACTCTGTCTTTATGTTCCTCTACCTGGAGTGTGTGTTATTTTAAAGAAATAAAATATCAATTTATATCAAACCTATTTTACATATCTTTTTTAATTATAGCCTATGTTATTCTGATGTATAAGCTATATAATTGTAAATTTTCATAGAAATAGAAATAATCTTTATTCAAATAAACTAAATATATGAAAAAAAAAATATATATATATATTAAATAGTGCATTACTAAAGTCAATCTTATTGCTTATAGCAGTACGATACAGACGTACAAATATTCATTTAAATCATTAAAACCATTTCTTATATTTTATTTATTTATAGGTTTATTTTATCTTAACAATAACCAAAAATTGTACAAAACTGAATAGAAATAGAAGTAATCTTTATTCAAAAAAACTCATTACAAGCACTCTTGATTAGTCATATTTTGATTCTACCACTCATTCGGAATGCTTATTCATCACAAGAATAATGAGCTTGTCCAAACAGACTTTAAGAAACTTGTGTGTTCCTAGTTCTTTGAATAGATGTATATTTTTATATAAATAATTACAGTATAACAAGTAAGAGGCATGCGATGAGAAACATAGAAATCGCTAATTATTGAAAGATTTGACATATTAATTACGTTGAAAGCGACACAGACAGACAGAGTTACTATATAAAGCCCTAGGAGAATCGATCATATAATATTAGTAATGACAAAATATATACTAAAAGATTACAAAACTTTTTTCATTAAAAAACAATTAAATATAACTAAAGTACTGATATCCATACATAACAAAATAAAATATACTATACTGTGCGAACAATACTTTAAGACAGAGAATCAACAGATATCCAGACGAACGAACATAACCCGCGGTGTTACTATAAAAAATAGTACTCCCAAGGTTCAATAACATTACGTAACAGCTAAACTAATAAATAGTATGCCAACTAATCTTAAAACAGAATTAAATATAAAAAACATAAAATCGAAATTAAAACAATATCATACACCTACTTATTAAATTATAATTTAAATAACTAATAATATCAACATCTTTTTATGAAGTTACATAAGTATTTGAAACATCCTATGTATATACGAAGTGAGTAAATCCAGACGTACACGACCGGTACTGATACCTACCCTCAATTATTTTACCTCAACTGAACTCACCACATACCCACTCAATTACTAATAATTGTTCAATTATTATTCTATATTGTATTGCTTGTTTACTAATGAAAGCAAGATACCTGTCATAAAACTAGCAGATAAGTAATTATTGTATTATATCGCATTTCTAACTTTGTAAGTCATTGTTATCTTTAAATAAAATAAAATAAAATAAATAAATAAAATAAATAAAAATAAATCAGTTTATTTCGTCTTGCTTTTTAGACCTCGCACTAATATTCTTAAGAATTAATTTATAATCTTATTTCCTTGTTACCTGCACAGCGGAACCGCCAGCTGATCCCGCCACAGCTACAATCTTACCTAATCAGGAAACAGTTATAGAAATTACCACAGAGTCACAAAACCTGGGCTTATTTTTGCTCGGCGGCAGTGACACCCCTATAAATGTAAGTACTAGTTTTTATATATTAAAAAATAAAGTATTTTTTATTTTTATGGATGACTAGCTGTACCAGTGACTTCGTACGCGTGGAATTTAATTTATTTGTCTAAAATAAAAGTAGTCTAAGTTACACGTTATTACATCAGCTACCTGCCAAGAAAAGTCCTGTCAAAATCGGTCCAGCCATTTCAGACATTAGCCGGAAGAAACATACAGACAGACAAAAAATTTTAATAGAAATAGAAATAATCATTATTCAAATAAACTTAATATAAGCACTTTTGAATAGTCAAGTTTTTTTATTCTACCGTTCATTCGGAATGCAGACTCATCACAAGAAGAATGAGCGAGAAACTTGTGTGTTGCTCTTTTAAGTTAGATATTTTCTACATTATTATCATTTATAAATTATGTAAAAAATGTTATTTTAGTCTACCGTATATGTGTATGGTATTTATATTCATATGCATGTAGTAATAAACGGTTATTTCAATATTACAAACAGACACTCCAATTTTATTTATATGTATAAATAATGGAATAGTGCACCCGCCTGCGCTAACGGTTTACGCTGGCGGGGCACCAGTGGAGGATCATAAGATGAGCATAAGGTCAGGTCAGTTAGCCCATCATGATAAATTCACCAAAAAATTATCACGATGGTTTCCAGGGGGAACCGCGTGGAGGTCAACTTGATATGGTACATCGATAGCATTAGGATCATCCGTCCACATTACTAACAATCACCTTTCCACCGATCTAAGTATCAAATCCGGTGAGCTTGGTCAGTACGGTTTCAGAGGAGCTTCCTCCCGAGAACTACCTGCCGAGGTTTTCCCACGAGACTACAGCATGGGGTTTTTCAAGAAGGGTATATTAAGGTTTCTTAAGGGTCGGCAACGCGCACGTGACACCCCTGGTGTTTCAGTTGTCCATAGACTACGGTAACCTTTTACCATCAGATGAGCCGTATGCTCGTTTGCCATCATCATTACATAGTATAAAACAAAGTCGCTGTCGCTGTCTGTTCCTATGTATGCTTAAATCTTTAAAACTACGCAACGGATTTTGAAGCGGTTTTTTTTAATAGATAGAGTGATTCAAGAGGAAGGTTTATATGTATATAACTAGCGACTCGCCCCGGCTTCGTACGAGGGCAATGCTGATACTAAATATACCTAACTACCTAAATTTATCAGTGTTTCTCTACAATATTATACATGTATTATACATATAAACCTTCCTCTTGAATCACTCTATGTATTAATAAACACCGATTCAAAATCCATTGTGTAACTTTAAAGATTTAAGCATACATAGGGACAGATAGCGACAGGGACTTTGTTTTATACTATGTAAAGATATATATACACCTGTGTAAAGCCGGGGTGAGTAGCTAGTATAAAAAACAAAGCTGTTACGTCACTTTTGTTATTGGTATTGTTAAATATTCCAGGGTCCAGCGGCCGTCGTGTTGGATGTAGTAAAGGACCGGCCAGTGGGTCGCGACGGGAGACTGCAGCATGGAGACCAGATCAGATCCGCCTGCGGGATACCACTCACGGATACCATGACTGAAGATAGGCTCAATATGACCATCAAGCAATGGGCACCCAAGGTAAGTTGCTGAGTTCATTTGCTGAAAATTCAAAATTCAAAATATCTTTATTCATGTAGGTCTATTACAGACTCTTATGATATGTCAAATCTACCGTCAGTTCGGAATGATTTCGAGATGAGAAGAACTGACAAGAAACTCGTATTTTTTTGTTAATGTTGTACATATTTACAATAATACTATTTCATTTAAATTCAAATTTGGGAGAATAGAGTGACCACCAGCATATGCTATATAAAAAAAAATTAAAAAAAAATCAAAAAATCTAATCAGTATTCGCAACCTGAACAGACCAGTCCCCACAAGCAGCACTCGTTCACGAGTATGACGGATGAGCCAGCCATCATTGCACTCTACCGACATCGACGTCCACCACGCCGCCACAAGTTTGAACTTTTCAAGTTACTCCACTACGTCATTTATATTATTTACAGCATAAACTGTACCAATCACAGTTTTCACCCATTACAATATTTAATTTACATTATTTAAATTACAATATGTCATTACTAAATTTGGAATAAGTTTCTTTAGTGTTTATTACATTATCTATGTCAATGGGAAAGTTATATACCTCATACTGAACTATAATATATTTCATTTTATACAATTTAGTGACATTAGGCGGGGGAAAATGTTGAGGCACTTGATACGACACGACGAACTAATTAATAGAGATGTGTTAATGTGTAGAGATGTGGCAACTCGGGTTAACTCGAGTTGCGGTAGAAGTATTCCTTCTAACTCGAGTTCGTAGAATTCAACTCGAGTTAAAGAGCGAGAGCATGATTCTGTCATCGTTCATTTACCAGTTGAATCAACGATAATTCTGACTGACAATGACATGAAATTTTCCGATCATTTCATATCATACAATTTTCACTCGTCACAAATGTTTCAATATTGATTTGAGGTCGTTATAATTTTTTTTCGCATATTCGTCCGGTTATGTGATCAGTAAAATGATTATGCGTTCTATAAGTCCTTCCGCGGCTTTGAAGTGTCATTTCTACTCGCCCCCTATGATTCGGTGAAGATTTCAAGGCCAGCTGCGCCCAACAACATTAGATTTGTTCGAAACATTAAAAAAGAAACAAAAAGAAACTATTATTCCAGGTCTACTCGAGTTAACTCGAGTTACCTGAATTTCAACTCGAGTTATGTTTATTACGAGTTAGCACATCTCTACTAATTAATAACATTATTGAAGGAAATATAGATGGAAAGAGAGGAAGGGGAAGATCAAGACACAGCTATATCAAGCAAGTTAAAGAAAAAGTTGGAGTAGTGTCGTATCAACAGCTAAAGACTGATAGAAGATCGTGGAAGGTGGCGGGAGCTCCACCGACAAGAGCACAGCTCTTAAATTAGGAATTAATTAATATAAAGATTACAAATCATTACATAGTATAAAATAAAGTCGCTGTCGCTGTCTGTCCGTCCCTATGTATGCTTAGATCTTTAAAACTACGCAACGGATTTTGAAGCGGTTTTTTTAATAGATAGAGTGATTCAAGAGGAAGGTTTATATATATATATATAATACATGTACACGTACACCCGATAGTTTCAGGAAGGTATTACATATACACCCGTGCGAAGCCGGGGCGAGTAGCTAGTAGACATAGATATAATCTTTATTCAAATAAACTTACTATAAGCCATTTTGAAATTATATTTTTTTATTGTATCACTCATAGAAGAGACCGACATAGCCCGAAGAATTGTGACTCTGAAGTGGCAATGGGCAGGGCACGTAGCTCGTAGGACAGATGGCCGGTGGGGCAGTAAAGTCCTCGAGTGGCGACCACGGACCGGAAGACGCAGCGTGGGAAGGCCTCCAGCAAGGTGGATCGACGATCTGGTCAAGATCGCTGGAAGGAATTGGATGCGAGTGCAGGACCGATCGTCGTGGAGATCTTTGGGGACCTATGTCCAGCAGTGGACGTCTTCCGGGCTGAGATGATGATGATGATGATCACTCATTCGGAACACTAATAAATGTTATGGAATTTTTTTTTCCACAAGCACCCTGCCTAATATGTCTAGGGGCCAATTACCTACCCTACACTATACTTACCCTTAGTCCGCCACTGCTTAGCAGATGTTATTTTTTTCAGTTGAAATTCAGCGTGTTCCGTCCGGAGCCGATCCCTTACGAGACGATAGATGTGGACGTCAACCGGAAGCAGAAACCACTAGGGTTATGTTTCGCGGCGTTCTCCAGCGACCGCGGGGTCTATATCACGCAGATTGTGAGTTTTTTATACTATACACACATATATGTATATATGTAATAAAAATATCTAAATATATATAACTCAAAGGTGACTGATATAGTGATCTATTAATGCACAGCCCAAACCACTGGGCGTATCGGGCTGAAATTTGGCATGCAGGTAGATGTTATGACGTAGGCATCCGCTAAGAAAGGATTTTGATTAATTCTACTTCCAAGGGGATGAAAGTTTGTATGAAACTTTGTCAAATTTCAACCGATCGGGCTGAGACTTTGCATGCATAAAGCTACTATGACGTAGGCAACCCCTAAGAAAGTATTATAATAAATTCCGCCCCTAAGGGAATAGGGGACGAAAGTTTGTATGGATTTATCTTAGATTTTGTTGGCCTTAATTATTTACACACGCTAAACAAAAGTAAAGCCGCAAAAACTACACCTAATTAATAATAATAGCCAAGCGAGGGAAGCCGCAGGCAAAAGCTAGTCATAGTATAAATACGTTCAAGAAAACGGAGTTCAGCGTAAACTCGAAAATAACAACGACGTTGATCTCGTTTTACTTTAAATGGAATTCACCAACATTATACAGATCGCGTTTACCAAAATGAAGTTTAGATTTTCATTCGTTCACAGTGTTACACGCTCATAAAATAATATTTGATGCAATGGGTAATTTAACTAAAATAATTTTAAGAAATATTTGTAAATCAATCATGTGATAATTAGGATATGTTTTTTAGTTTTTAATTTAATAAGTACCGTCGACTACAAAATATATAACAACAACCTTTACCTATAAACAAGGTAAAACATTATTTTATTGAGGATTTTTCACACTACTGGCAATTTTTTTTTATTCCCGATATTATATTACCATAAATTTTATTGATGACTGTTTCACAACTAACAGCTGCTTTAAATACGTTTAAAGAGTTAACTGTAGGAAATCAGACGTTCAGAATTTATAAACGTGTTTAAAGAAATTTATAGTGGAGAGATGCAGAATGAAGCTTTGAACACGTTTAAACGTTTTAATCGCGTTCATTTCCAATTAAACGCGATCAGTTTCTCTTGTGAAACCCGGCCTGAGAAATATGAATAAATATTTATTATTATTTTTCTGTTATAGTTGCCTGGCTCCCCAACAGAACAAGATGGCCGACTGAGACGTGGTGACCACATAATATCAGTGGACGGTAAGGACGTCTCAACTGTAGATTTTACGGCTGTTTCCATCGCCCTCAAACTCATTGGACCCAAAGTGTCCCTTAAAGTTAGAAGGTTGAAGATTGTTAGGTAATTTACATTAGCTTGGCGGCGTACGGGTAATTTCAAGTTCACAGAATTTTGAAATATTCATGACTTTTTATTTAATGACCTAATTAGTATCATTTTTTTATTATGTAAGTATTAAGAAATGTCGTCTATGTAACTCTGTCTCTTCTATTCCAACCGCTAATCATCATGCCTTAAAACGGTAAGAATTTTGAGGTAAAGGCAGTGAACTTACACGATAAGGCATGATGCCTTAAGCCTTAAAAAACTGTAAGAACGATGAGATGAGGCAGTGAGATACAGAATAAGTCATACTGTCTTAATCCTCTAGAATTTTATATAAGGCAGTGAAATTACAAGATAAGGATACGCCTTATTAATGATTCAACATATTCTGACTATTTAATGACTTAATTTAATTTGACATATAATTAATTTCAATTATTTTTTAATGATATTTCTCAATTCTGTGAACTGTTCTATAAAAAAATCCGATTATTGGTAAAAAATATTTAGAATAAAAAAAAAATTAAAAATAATAATTTTTGTGAAATAAAAATTGGGGATATTATGGAAGTGAACTGACAATAAACGGTGTGAAATATTTCCAAATTTGAATTGTATAATAATAACATATTTTATTATAAATAATTATTATATAGCCGCGTACTAATTTTCTTTTATATAAATAACAATTTTCCATAGATAATTTCGCTTCACTTCCTGTACCCAAAATGAGCCTAAATATTTTTTTTTACCAATCAACAAGTAATTTTATTACTTGCAATATCAACATCGGTATTTGTATATTCTTTTTTATAATTACATTATTGTAATTAATGTTTTTTTTATGTCGATTTTATCCTATTTTATTGACAATTAATTAATTATAAGTTTTAATATTTTTAAGATCTGATTTCTTTGAATATATAATTTGATAACAGGCCGATATGACCCTTATGTTGTAGTTATTTAAGACTAGTATAATTATTTCAGTATTTTTAGTTATATAATTAATTATATTTAATTATTTCGAGGCGTAATGATAAAAGTAGTTAATACCTATTACATAAAATAATCTTCTAGTCCTCCCTAGTAGAGTAATAGTTTTTTTTCTGTAATAAATTGCCTTTTTAATTAATTATATTACATAGTAAGGCTTTACTATTCCATTGTTCTAAGCCATTGCTAGAAAGCTAGAAAAAAAATGAACAAGTAATAGATATGATATATTTAGAATTAAGCGCCATTTTAAAGTTAAATTAAAAATATTTAACTACATTAGTTTATATATATAAAAAATTGTTTAATTAAAAAAAAATATATAATAAATAATATGCATTTAAAAAAAATGTAAATGAATTGCGTAGCATAATTCTAAATCATTGTAAAGTGTAAAAAGCGGCTTTTTTTTTCATTGTCAGTACTTGTATTGTAATTTGTAATTATTAGGCTAAGATAGTCACTATTTCTTGTAGGAACGTATATTCATAAAAATTAAACACGCTCCCCCTTGTTTTAGCTATTTTCTCATTCTTTTATATTAGTTTCTCAATTTGAAAGAATGAGACGAAACATAGTTGAAGTAAGTTTGTAAGTTAGTTTTTATGGATAGGTTTGGTAGGAATAGAATGGCCTCAGAATTAGTGTAATTTTTGTAAATTTACAATATCTAGTGGCATTTGGCCATGCCTTTCGAAGTAAGCTCGTATATACGGTAGAGTAGAATATAGTAACCGATGTAATAAATAGCAAATATTGACTATAATACGTTGAGTTTTTAAATTACTTTTAAACTCCACAATCTTTTGGTGAACAGAACATGCGTTTGTGCCATACATACATAATGTTTATAACAGTAATGAGTATGTTTTTTTTACCAAAAGATGTGGCAAAGGAAATTAGAAGGTCAGTACTACAAACTTCTTAGTGATATCTGTATATTTACATGGACATCTGTTGAATGACTTCTATGTAAGTTTTATCTTAAAAAAAAAAAGATTTCTGGTTTAATGTTTTTTTTTAAGATGAAACTTGCGTTGAATGGGATTTTTTTTTTGTAGATTTTAATGCGATTTAGTATAATTACATCATGCTCTCATTGTAATGAGATTTGACGCCTTCGTGTTAGTTTTTTTTTAGGATTAATTAGTGAATTTATGATATATTGAATAAAATACTAGTATATAGAATTTCAATTTTCTAGAACGTTAGCTAGTATCCACTAGTAAGTTTATTTAAATGAAAATCTATTTCTTATAACATATTATTGTTGGATTTTAAACTGTATACCGATATTGTTGTACACTATGGAAAATTGTATGATATAGTAAATCTGTAATAAATTCCGGCTTTTATAAACGAATGACTTTCATTTCTTACCAAAATAATCTCAGGACAATTCACACAACGCCATCTAGACTCAAGTTAGGGTAGCTAAAGCTTGTGTTATAGGTACTAGATAACTGATACATATACATAGATTTTCGATACATATTATACATAAGAAACACCCAGACCGATGGAAACAATCATAGTCATGTGTACAAATGTTTATGCCGTGCGAGGAATCGAACCCGCACCATCGGTCGTAAAGCGGTATGCCACACCGCTAGACACAAATAAACACAATACAAGCACTTGAATGTAATATTTTTTTATTCTCTAATCATTTCGCCTCATCAAAATAACACACGCTATAAGTTTAGTTCTTTATTATCATTCATAAAACTTATATTACTAATTTAAGTTATGTTGCATTAAGTCACAAAACAACAGATCTAAGTAATAAACAGAATTTCAATTTCTTAAACACAAATACAATTTGGTATTTGATTAACTAACATACAACTGACTAGATTATAATTATTACGTATATATCGTTAATAATAAGCATTTATTTGCGAGCATTGAAGTTTCTACACTAAGTTATTGTTCAAGTTAGTAATAAGTTATGTATAATCACAATAGGTATTAAGTTTTGAGCAATTAACACTTGAGAACTATAATAATCTATACATCTATACACATAAATAAAATTGGAGGTATGTAAATTGCAGACATGCATGTGAATATAAATTCCGGAACATACACCAAAGTAACATTTTTTACATTTTTTGTCTGTCTGTTTGCTCCGGGTAATCTCTGAAATGGTCGGCGATTTTGACGGAACTTTTATTGGCTGGTAACGAATGTAATAAGGAACTTATTACATTCGCTACTTGCCAATAACATTTTTTTTTAATTTTTGTCTGTCTGTTTGTTCCAGCTAATCTCTGAAATGGTCGGCGATTTTGACGGAACTTTTATTGGCTGGTAACGAATGTAATAAGGAACTTATTACATTCGCTACTTGCCAATAACATTTTTTTTTAATTTTTGTCTGTCTGTTTGTTCCAGCTAATCTCTGAAATGGTCGGTAATTTAAAAATTGTCTGATTAACTTTCTTTGTTGAAAGGACACTGAAACCGCGACTTTGTCCGCGTGGAAAACTTTGTTGTCCACGCGGACAAAGGCACGGGTACAGCTAGTGTTAAATAAAATACTGTGATAGGTAAGTTATAAACTAAAGCTATAGTTTTTTTAATACACTTGGATAATTCTTCTCCATCTAGCCCCAATATAAGCAGAGCTTGTGTTATGGGTATTAGACTACTGATATAAATACTTAGATATTTTTTTTGTAAATACATAATGTACATAGAAAACATCTAGACCGATACAAACAATCAAGAAAAATCGATATTACTTAATAATAATTTCAGGACAATTCACACAGCGCCATCTAGTCCAACTTCCAACGTGTTATTTTTTAAACTCTGTTCTTTTTTTATAGCATAGAGAACAAACGAGTTTGCAGCTCACCTGATGGTAAGTGATTACCACCCATAAGCACCCGCAACACCAGGGAATTGCAAGTACGTTGTCGGCCTTTTAAAAAGAAATAAGCTCTTTTCTTGAAGGTTTCAATATCGCATCGGTTCGGAAATACCATTGCTGGAAGGTGATTCCACAATGTAAAAACATCTCAATTACACGTAATTTCTAAGTATTTATATGATTTCTGACTCCAATGAATTTGACTTCACTGTTATGCCTCGGTCCAACCTAAAGTCTTCATTACATAGTATAAAACTAAGTCTCTTTCGCTGTCTGTCCGTCCCTACGAGTATGTATGCTTAAATCTTAAAAAATACGCAACAGATTTCGATACGGTTTTTTTTAACAGATACAGTGATTCAAGAGGAAGTTTTGTACAATACATGTACACCCGTGCGAAACTGGGGCGAGTAGCTAGTATATAATTCAAAAAGGGTTCTAAATTATAGAATGCAACAGACAATTAAGTAATAATGTCCAATTTATATGTACAATTAAACAATATTCGTATGGTTTCTTATCTTATTTACAATTACTAAAATAAATAAGTACACATACTGGTTAAATTAGGAGTTTTACAGTCAAAAGTTAACATTCAGTTAGTACCTGATGTGATAATAAAGACTCTACTATAAATAAAGAATGAACGCATTAGAGGAAGTATGAAAGTGGCGCCGGTGTCGGAGAGGTTGAAGAGTAATCGTCTGTCGTGGTATGGGCATGTAATGCGTAGGAAGGAAGATCATACCTTATGGAAGGTGTTACATATGAATGTGGATGATTATAAGGGAGGAGAAAGGACGAATGAGAGATGGGTGGACTGAAAAGAAGATATAAGAAAGGGAGTAAATAACGAGATGACTGCGGATAGGGATGAAATGGAAGAGAAAAACATATTACGACGACCACTAAAAAGAAGGAAGCAGATGGTGATGATGATGACCCAGTGATTATAACATAGAATTCAATATTTTGCTGTAAACATACTAAATTAAGTTTTATCAATAAAGATATACATCAAAATATTATGGCAAAAAATTACATAATATATTTTAAGTAACATTGGCTATTTTATTCTCCTATCAAGTAATACTTTAATACTAGTTTCACTACCTCTAAAAATTCTATAATCTTTCTTCCGAACTTTTCCTTATGACTAAAGGTTTCAATCTACTTCTCAACTTTACTAATCTTTTACTAGATTTTCCAGCTGTACCTGAACTCCTTAAGTCTGGCATTGACTTGCTTTCATGTACCGGAAGAGGGTCTGTAGGTTTAGTTAGAGTACCATAATATCTTGGCATACTGAAATCATTCTCCTGGAACATCATCGCTGATTTCTGTTTTATACTCTGTAGACTTGTATCACCTCTATATTCCGGTATTGATGGACCATCAGCAAAGAATCTTGGAAGATTATTACTCTTTATAATTGGCGTGTCAGGTAGACTGCTAAGTTTCAGCTCTTCTGTCGCTGATAGAACACCGACCATTGACTTAGACTTTACTAATGGTGGTTTCTCTGGTGCCAAATTTGCTGGAATGTTCAGGAAGGATGCACTTCTATGTGGCACTCTTGATAACACTCTGTTGATTTTTGTAGGGTCTATATTTTTGAAACTTTCCACTCGATTCAGATGAGGTCTAGATATTCGGTTCCCACTGTCTACTCTCTCTAAAGTTTTAGTACTATTGCTTCTGAGAATACCCTTAACGCTTTCTACTCTTGGTATACTTAATGTGGAAGGTAAAGCAACTACTGAAATAGGATCATACTTGTAAATTGGATTAAGTGTAGTGATTTTAGATTCATCTTTTAATGTTACTGTACTAGGTTTTATAACATCCTGTTTTTTAACAGAGACATTCATTGTGAGTCCCTCTTCAGTATCTTGGCTGCCTTTATCACTTTCCTCTTCTTCTTCAATTTTAAACATATCGTAATTGGTTAATAGTTCATCCTTGAACATGATTTCGAAATCTGTAACAGGTGAATTGATTTCGTCTTCAAAGTAAACTTTTGTTCGATTGGGTTTATCTGATAGATAGTCAGGTTCTGATTTCGTTTCATAGTCGTCCAGGGATTCCACGCTGCTCTTCGCTTTGAGTTCATGATCATCTCTAAATATTAACGATTTAGAGAAAACCTGTAAATAAAAGTCATGTAAGATTTATTTCCTGTTTTTTATAAAATTATTGACATTTAAATTATCTTTATAATTAATAGAAATTTCTAATGTATTGCATATGATTATGTATATATAAATCAATATACGAGTATAAAGGAACGAATTATATTTTTTAATAGTCTTACAAATAATATAATTCCATATTTATTAGTATGAATTGAAGTCTGTTTGTTACTCTTTCACGCAATTACTGAATTTAGCACGCACGCCTATATAACTTTTTGTTTATTGTTAAAGTCATTGGATAATATAATATTATGGGATTGAGGATCTCAGGGTTTTTATGGCGTGAGTTAAAGTGCTTGACTTATGAAATTGCAAGGAATATACGACTTATCCTATTGTCTTTTGGACTACTCTAATGCTGTTGGCAGCAGCTGGCCTTTCCAGCTTCACCAGACGATAGGGGCGAGTGCAGATGGCACCCCAAACCAAAGGAAGGACTTATGGAGCGGCTGACGGCCAACTCCCGCCTGACGGATACCAGTTTAGTTTTTTTTTTTTGGAACCACTCTAATGCTGTTGGTCGCAGTTGGCCTTCACAGCTTCACCGGACGCTATGGGGCGAGTGCAGATGACACTCCAAACCAAAGGAAGGACTTATGGAGCGGCTGAAGGACAACTCCCGCATGCTGGATACGACGACAGTCTGAGGCCACCGCTAGGGGTTCGAACCTCGCCTCAGGCCGTCGTAATATCGATCCCCGTTTGAATTGGACGGGGGATCGATCAGAGGGGGACTCATCCTATTGTACAATTGATAATTTTACAAAATGGCGAGCGAGCGGGCGGCCTCGAGTGCCCCGGGTTGGTTGGCCTGTTCCTACGGTGGTACATTGTTTGTAGTACTGATTGCCACAAGATTGTTTACCTTTAATATTATGTTAACGTATTTATGGTCTAACTAGTTTTTGCCCGCGGCTTCGCTCGCGTTAATTTATCCTCTTAGGGGTGGAATTTATCAAAATCCTTTCTTAGGGGATGCCTACGTCATAGTAGATTTATGCATGCAAAGTTTCAGCCCGATCGGTTTAAAATTGACAAAGTTTCATACAAACTTTCATGCCCTATTTTATCCCCTTGATGGTAGAATTAATCAAAATCCTTTCTTAGCGGATGCCTACGTCATAACATCTACCTGCATACCAAATTTCAGCCCGATCCGTCCAGTGGTTTGGGCTGTGTGTTGATAGATCATTATGTCAGTCACAGTTATATGTATTTAGATTTCGACCACTATCTATAATCATAAAAAGATCTATATTTACAAAAGTCATAATAGTTACCTCATAAAGTTTATCCACGTGTACTGGTAGCTCGTTCAGTTCTCTTCCAATAATGGCACGTGGTGGTAAATGATTGTTGTTAATGGGTTGTTCTGTGACCACACTATCTAAACTGGCGCCTATGTTGGCGTGACCATTAGAGTATGTTTGATCATCGTCTAATCTGGAATCAGAGATACGATCACATCAAAAACCATTTCTTCATGTAGGACATTTTAGCCGCTTATGAACATCAAATTTTTTGTATTAATATTTTTTTCCTAACGTCCAATTCAGTATATAGATTCAATTGAGAGGAATTGGCTATTTTTTAAAAGCCAATTATTTATGTTATACATCAATATTGTAGAAAAATTTTCGATATTAAAAGAAGGTAGTTTGTGTTTAGTACTAATGAAGTACCCAATGTAAAGATTATTATAAATATTGTGAATAGCGCCATCTAGTATTTATAGACCGAACTAAACACTGACTTCGGTCTATAAATACGGAGGTCGGTAGTTGAATAATCCTCTTTCGTTGGGTGAACCGCGGCATTCAGTCGACGAGCGCAGAGCGTGCCGGTTGTGTTTAGGATTTTAAAGTGAATTGTATTAGAAATGGGTTTATCCTGGTCTTAGTTGGGCCTGGGGGGAAGCTGCAAGTAGTGAAGGTGAGTGTTAATGCATTCTAAAAGGGCCTTTTAAACCTACACCCGTGTCACAAGTCACGGGCGCTACTTGGGGTTTCCCTTGCGGTAGCCGGCTTCAAAGCATAAGTCGTCATCTTTAATTAGTGCTTCTTACATTTACATTGTGTACATATGTAGGTGTCTATGTCTAACATTAAGTGAAAATCCCGTGCATGAACTAGTATAATAATAATCTCAGGACAATTCACACAGCGCCATCTAGACCCAAGTTGAGCTAGCTAAAGCTTGTGTTATGGGTACTAGATAACTGTTACAAATATATTTTTGTTTTCGTAATTACATACATATTATACATAGAAAACACCCAAACCGATACAAACAATCATACTCATGATTATAATTTTTTTGTGGATAGCAAGGAATCGAACCCGCGATCAGTTTTCTAGCACCCATTATACAAGCTCTGCTCATAATAGCTTGGGATTAGGCGGCGTTGTAAGCCTAGGATTATTATTATTGTTATCATTTACTACCTGTGGCCACGACACACTACAAACTTTCATCCCCTATTTTTCACCCCCTTAAGGGTAACAATTGTACAAACTTAGTCATATTTATTTATATTTAATGAACAGCCTAAAAATAAGTTTCAAGATTCTAGTTCTAAAATGACGATACTTCCATTAGAACCCTTTATCTCCCTTTTCTACCGCTTACAACCCTTTATTCCGAATAAAAAGTAGCCTCTGTCCTTTCTCAGAGTCTAGACTATCTGTGTACGAAATTTCATTTAAATCGGTTCAGTAGTTTTACATTTATAATATTACTAGCTGTGCCCGCGACTTCGTTCTCAACGAATAGAGGACGAATGAGGAATTTCCATTTCATCCCCTATTTTATTTTACCCCCCTTTAGGGTAAAATTCGTATAAACTTTGAATGTCATATTTATAGTCTACAGCCTAAAGAATAAGTTTCAAGCTTCTAGCTTTAAAAATGACGATACTTCCTTAGAACCCTTTATCTCCCATTCCTACCCCTTATAAACCTTACTTCGCATTAAAAAGTAGCCTGTCCTTTCTCAGGGGCTAGACTATCTGTGTACCAAATTTAATTTAAATCGGTTCAGTAGTTTTGGAGTGAAAGCGAGACAGACAGACAGTTACTTTCGCATTTATAATATTAGTAAGTAACTAAGTATATATGTTATTGAGTTTTTTTATCATATTAACCCAAGAACTTCTAAATGCATATCGCGACAGTCAACATATCAAACAATGCATGATGGAGTGATAAGCAGATTACATCTCGTTATCACTGATCACGAAACGATGTCAAGTAGTTTGCGAAAAATTCGAGGTTATTTATTTGTTTGTATTGTACGATAATACGTTTTTATTTATAACTAGCTGTACACGCGACTTCGTCCGCGTGGAATTCAACTTCTTATATTTTAGAAAAATACAGTTAAATTCCACACGGACGAAATCCCGTGTACAGGTAGTCATCAGTAAAAAAAACACGTAGGTATCTCTAATATATTATACAGTAGCTGTACCCGCGTCGAAAATCGGTCCAGCCATTTCAGAGATTAGCCGGAACAAACAGACCGACCGACAGACAGACAAACAAAAATTATAAAAAATGTTATTTTGGTTTTATTATTTATATTCATATGCATATAGTAAAAAACGGTTATTTCAATATTACAAACAGACACTCCAATTTTATTTATATGTATAGATTTGACGAACTCCGTGGTCTAGCGGTCTAGCGGTGTGCTTTACGACCGATGGTCGCGGGTTCGATTCCTCGCACGGCACAAACATTCATATTCATGAATATGATTGTTTGTATCGGTCTGGGTGTTTTCTATATATAATATAATATGTATGTATTTACAAAAAAAATCTATGTATATGTATCAGTTATCTAGTACCCATAACACAAGCTTTAGCTAGCTTAACATGGGTCTAGATGGCGCTGTGTGAATTGTCCTGAGATTATTATTATTATTATATATAATTTCTATATAGCCAAACGTAAATATATTTTTCGAAATATAATAATAATAATAATAACACATGCCGAATAGTCAGAATATTTCTATCTTCATCACATAACTCATCCATGCTTGGCTAAGGCACGCGTGTTTGAATCTATTACCCACGTAAAAAGGGAGATATAATAAATATATATATATATATATATAATGATATTTTCAGGGTTTCTTTATAAAATAAACGTAAACAAAGTGTTTGAAATAATATCACACATATAACCCCCTGTAAACAAAGAAACGACATTTAAAGGAGATATAATAATATATATATATATATATATACATATATGATGTAAGTTAAGATAAGTTATTCTTATAACAATATCCATACTTTGTATGAGACCATACAAACGGCAGTAATTGGCGACTAATTTGTAATGTATACACAATGTGACCAGACGTCCCGTAATGAACGGGACAGTCTCTTTTTATAATTACGAGTCCCGGTGTCCCCGAAACGGACTCTGGGAACGTTTTGTAATGTATACACAATGATATAAAAAAAATGTGACAAGAGTGTCATTCTTACTTAAATACTTCTTAAAAAGTCAAATTTGTTCCTCCGATAACAAAACATTTTATTTTTATCAGATAAATATAAACTATCTATGAATAAACAAAATGTTTAATTATATTTACATATTTAAATCACTGAATAGATAATTTTAAATTGATGCTCGAATATAATGACTCCGACCTTCCAACATGACAATTTAAATCACAATAAATTGATGCTCGAATATAATAACTCCACTAAGTACCTACACTACAAGGTCTTTATGATCGGAGAGTTTCCTTTACAAACAGACATACTAGCCGTTACACGCGAGTTTGACTGCATTTTTAAAGATAAAAGAGTGAATATCCATCATAAGGATCATCATCATCATCATCGCAGCCCGGAAGACGTCCACTGCTGGACATAGGCCTCCCCCAAAGATCTCCACGACGATCGGTCCTGCGCTGCTCGCATCGAATGCCTTCCAGCGATCTTGACCAGATCGTCGGTCCACCTTGCTGGAGGCCTTCCCACGCTGCGTATTCCGGTCCGTGGTCGCCACTCGAGGATCGAGGACATCATAAGGATACAATTTATATTTTGTTTATTTATTATATATATTCTGGACCGATTTTGGCGGTCTTTTTTTTGTAGATAGCTGATGTAATAAGGAGTGACTTGGCTGCTTTTATTTTAGGTAAATAAAGTTAAATTCCACGCGGACGAAGTCGCGGGAACAGCTAGTATATAATATGCTTTTTATAAAGTTTTTGTCTATAATATTTATATATATATTTATTTTATTAAGTCATTATTTAAGATCTTCTCTTGTCGGTGGAGCTCTTGCCACATTCCGCCATCTTTATTATTATTTTTTCTTTTTTGCGTTTATTTGAATAACGATTATTTCTATTTCTGTTTCTGTTTCTGTTTCTGTTTCTATTTCTATCTATTAATATCGTAATATTTGCCAATATCAAAACCTATGGCCGACCGTGACATGCTCTGCTATCAGTTACAATCCATATTGTTTCGCACCTCACGTCTCGAATACTAATGTATGAACGTGATAAGGTTTGTTAAACAAACAAATTACACTAATGTAATGCAATGACATTTATTTACATACTAACTGTACCCGCGATTTCGTCCGCTTGGATTTTAATTTTTTTCTAAAATAAAAGTAGCCTAAGACACTCCTTATTACATCAGCTATCTACAAAAAAAAAGTGCCGCCAAAATCGGTCCAGCCATTTCAGAGATTAGACAGACAGATAAAAATTGTAATAAAAATATTTTGGTCTATGTAACGTATATATATTCATATGCTTGTAGTAAAAAACGGTTATTTCAATATTACAAACAGACACTCCAATTTTATTTATATGTATAGACTAGCACTATAGCTCGCGACTTCGCCCGCGTCTGTAACCTTGACCAAATAAAGAAAAAATATTTAATAATCTAACCCAAAAACAAAATACAAAAGTTTCATCATTCTAGCTTCAAGAATAATGAATTTCCTTACAAACTGACATCCTCTATTTTATTTCACCCCCTTACCCTTAAGGGGGTGACATTTAAAGGGGGCGACCTTAATAAAAAAAAAAAATATTAAGGTCGAATTTTGAACACTGAGCAACAATTAGTTTGAATGAAATTATAATAAAATTATAGTGGATAAGATAATGTTTGTACCGTGCTTATCCGTCATACTCGTGCACGGGTGCTGCATGAACTGGTCTGCTCTAATCACTATGACTGATTTCCTCTTATTAATTGTTTAACCAGTTGGTTGTATATTCAATATTTTTCTATTTGAGTATTTAATTGAATTAGTGCTAACTGGAAGTTTGTGTTCACACACTTCAACTTAAAAATGTAAAGTAACAATAAAATTATTTAAAAGAGCAACACGCAAGTTTCTTGCTCGTTCTTCTTGTGATGAGACAGCTTTCCGAACGAGCGGTAGATTAAAAAAAAAGTGATGACTATTCTAAAGTGCTTCAATGTAAGTTTATTTGAATAAATGATTTTCTATTCTATTCTATTCTATTCTATAATCGAACCCGCGACCGTTAGCAGTAAGGCATGCGTTAAGTGTAAAGTATGAATGTATAGTTAAAGTAACTTACTTGTAGGTCGCTATTTTCTTGTCGAAGCAGAATTTCTCCTCGCAGCAGTTCCAGTACATTGTCTCCAGACAGCTGGAAATGATAAAATTAAAAAGCTTATCAATATGTTTTTTTTCTTTTTTTATTATACCACGTAGGCGGCAAACAAGCATACGGCCCATCTGATGGTAAACGATTACCGTAGTAACTCTAAATCTAAATCTGACTACAAATTTTTGTGCCGTGCGAGGAATCGAACCTGTGACCTTCGAAAGCGGTGTGCTAACCGCTAGACCACCGGGGCAGTTTATAAACTTACATCACAGATATAAAATATTTAAATATAAAATGCACTCACCATAAAGTAAATTATGATAAGATTACAACGCATATAACTATACATATAAATAAAATTGGAGTGTCTGTTTGTAATATTGAAATAACAGTTTTTTACTACATGCATATGAATATATATACGGTAGGTACATACACCAAAATATTTTTTTTACAATTTTTGTCTGTCTGTCTGTCTGTTTGTTCTGACTAATCTCTGAAATGGCGGGACCGATTTTGTCGGGACTTTTTTTGGCAGGTAACAGATGTAATAAGGAGTAAAATAAAGTTAAATTCCACGCGGACAAAGTCGCGGTCCAGAGATTAGCCGAAACTAACACCCTACGCTACTGCCACCGCTAGGGTTCGAACCTCGGCTCAGACCGTCGTAATATCGATCCCCGTTTGAATTGGACGGGGGATCGATCGGAGGGGAGTTAACTAACCTTTTTGCTATTTCCTTAAAAAGCCTTATAGACTCCACGGACGAAGGCTCTCTCTCTTTCTCTATCTTTCTCTATCTCCCTCCGTCTACACGTGTATTATATACACAACACATTATACAAATCTGCAGATTCAATATCCAACTTGAAATTATACAACTCACTATTTATATTATTAACCGTGTCTTAACACGAACCAATTCATGGCAAAGAAAGGTATTTACCTCTCTTGACGAGCTGACACACCACCATGAGAGGGGGGGGGGGGGATTGCTAGTAATGTGGATTGATAACCCCATTGCTAGCAATGTACCATATCAGGTTGACCTCCACGCGGTTCCCCCTGGAAACCATCGTGTTAAATTCCTGGTGAATTTGTCACGATGGGCTAACTGACCTGACCTCGTGCTCATCTTATCATCCTCCACTGGTGCCCCGCCAGCGTAAACCGTTAGCGCAGGCGGGTGCACCATTACACTATCATCCACAAAAAAAACAACAACCATGACACCACGGATAATGCAACCTAGTCGAAACATCGAGGGAAGTAAATACTTTTATTTACCATAAAATTATTCTCCGCTCTGATCGATACCCCATCCAATTCAAATGGGGATCGAAATTGCGACCGCCTGAGCCGAGGTTCGAACCCCTGGTGCCCTCAGACTAAAGTCGTATCCGTCAGGCAGGAGTTGGCCTTCAGCCGCTCCATAAGTCCTTCCTTTGGTTTGGAGTGCCATCTGCACTCGCCCCCTATCGTCCGGTGAAGCTGTAAAGGCCAGCTGCGGCCAACAACATTAGAGTAGTCCGAAAAAAAGAGTTAAAACCCGGTTAATAATATAAATAATATAAAAAACGAAAGTTTAAAATTCAACTCACTGATTTGGCAAATGGCTGAATATGAAATTTATAAATTTATACACAGAACTACTGAGTTATAATAATATAGACCGAATGAATTAGTCGGTTTGTTACAACACGCCGTCGTATCTCGTATCTTGACGTTGACAAAAGATTTATCTTTATTTTGTTGAACTTGGAATTTTTTAGACTCTGCCTACTATGTTTAAATTTCGTCATGAGTTTATTACTATAACAATAAAAACCCAAGTGATTGAAACGGTTAATTAATTGCATTATATGAGTACTACTCATATAATGCAATTAATTAACATCTAGTACCCATAACATAAGCTCTGCTTAACTTAGGACTAGATGGCGCTGTGTGAATTACTCAGGGATATAATTATTAATATTGTATCCCATCAAAAACATAAATGTGAAATGATAGCCAAGTTTAATATTATGATATATGCCTTGATTGTTGACTTCTACGACAAAAGAGATGAGATCTAAATGGGTGCCAAGTTCAATGGTCTGTCCTGAAATGTATTTATAACAATATAAAATGTCATTTCTTCTTATAACTTAGGATAATATACTGTAGCCTAAGGTCTGACTCGTCGAATCGCTGAACCGATTTCGACGGGACTTTTTTGCAAGGTAGCAGATGTAATAAGGAGTAACTTAGGCTACATTTTAGAAAAATAAAGTTAAATGCCACGCGAAGTCGCGGGAACAGCTAGTTTATAATAATAATAATAATAATAATAATAATAATCTTAGGACAATTCACACAGCGCCATCTAGACCCAAGTTAAGCTAGCTAAAGCTTGTGTTATGGGTACTAGATAACTGATACAAATACATAGATATTTTTTTTTTTGTAAATACATACATATTATATATAGAAAACACCCAGACCGATACAAACAATCATACTCATGAATACAAATGTTTGTGCCGTGCGAGGAATCGAACCCGCGACCATCGGTCGTAAAGCGGTGTACTAGACCGCTGGACCACCGAGGTCGTCTGGTATAATAAACTGGTACTTACTATTGACATGACTTGCACAGCCTCAGCAGCATCGTGTCTTTGTTCACATACTGAATTGAATTGCTTGTGAATTATTACCATCTGCTTCTTGCTGTTGCTTCGAAGTTGCTACCATCAAATGTACCTGCAAATAAAGTAAATTGTCAATTATTTTTTACTAACTACTCGGCCCGGCTTCGCACGGGTGTACATGTATTTTTTTTTTAATAATATATTTATTTTTCTCCACAAAATCATATATATTATAGAGTGCTGCAGAGCCTTTGAGGCATGTAAAATTCTATGCAAAAATACAGATTTGTGGAGAACTGGTGCCTGTACTAGGCATCCGAAGAACCTGTATCACGGGTCACCAGGTCTATTAGGTGTATTATAGGTTATTAAGTGTATTTCAGGTGTATTATACATATAAACCTTCCTTTTGAATCACTCTATCATTGATAGATATTACCAGGTGAGTAATATCTAAATATATATAATTTTATAATTATTCCATACAAACTGTACCCGCGGTTTTACCCGCGTTGAACTTCAATATAAAATATAGCCTATATGTTATCCTGATGCATAAGTTATATTACTGTAAGCTGTAAAGTTTCATTAAAATCTGTTCAGTAGTTTTTGCGTGAAAGAGTAACAAACAAACTTACAAATTTTCGCATTAATAATATTACTAGCTACCCGCCGCGGCTTCTCATGGGTGTACATGTATTATATATATAAACCTTCCTCTTGAATCACTCTATCTATTAAAAAAACCGCTTCAAAATCCGTTGCGTAGTTTTAAAGATTTAAGCATACATAGGGACAGACAGACAGCGACAGCGACTTTATTTTATACCATCTAATGATTATGATTTATATGGATTGTCATCATAGTTAAATGATATGAGATATATATATCATATTTATATGTATATATTATATTTTTTAAGCTTTTTAGTTTTAGGTTCTTAGTTGTACAATTAAGTTATGTAAATAAAAGTTAAGTTTTATAGAATAAGTCAATGGTATAATGTTATCGAAGTAATGAAAAAAAAAATAGTTGCAGTTAATCTGGAGTTTATTTTAACCGTGTCTAGTAAGTAAAACGATGCGCTAAACCGCTAGATCATCGAGATAGTCATTGCTAGCAATATATATTTAAATTCTAATTTTTTTTTCCATAAAAATAAAAAAATATGAAAAATATATTGTACTAGCTTTTACCCGCGGCTTCGTTAGTTTAATTTATCCCCTTAGGGGTGGAATTTATCAAAATCCTTTCTTAGGGGATGCTTACGTCATAGTAGCTTTATGCATGCAAAGTCTCAGACAGATCAGTTTAAAATTGACAAAGTTTCATACAAACTTTCATCCCCTATTTTATCCCTTTGGGAGTAGAATTAATCAAAATCCTTTCTTAGCGGATGCCTACGTCATAACATCTACCTGCATGTCAAATTTCAGCCCGATCCGTCCAGTGGTTTGGGCTGTGCGTTGATAGATCACTATGTCAGTCACCTTTGAGTTATATATATTTAGATTTGGTGAATTCGTCATGATGTGCTAACTGACCTGACCTCATGCTCATCTCATCTTCCTCCACTGGTGTCCCGCCAGCATCAACTGTTAGCGCAGGCGGGTCCACCATTCCATTATTATCCGTAAATAACGATAAATTTATGCATATTTCCGCATTTATAATCATTGTCTTAATCATTGACACTATGCTACGTTTACATTCAGCCGCTTCCCCTGCCACTCGCGCTGCCGGAAATATTGCCGGCCGACAACTGTGCGAGAGGGCTGAATGTAAAACACGCTGCCACTCGCGCTGCCAGTCCTTTGATTCGCGCACGTAAAACCGACAATCGAGGGAGCACCGGCAGCGCGAGTGGCAGCGGCAATGGCATGGGAAGTGTTTCCACTCGAGTTTACATTGTCGCGCTGCTCACTTCCCTGCCCACTCGGGCTGAGTGTAAATTGGGCATAAGATTGTCTTCAAAAAATAAGTTATCTATGACCAATACTAACTAAGGATGTTAGGGAGCTCCGTAACTGTACCTAACCGAAACTATCGGATATCTGATATAAAAAAAATATTCGTAACCGTAATAAAAGTTTCGGATAATATCGGATAGGAACGGAGCCTAATTGAGACACGTTATGCAACCATTTGTATTTTACTTTTGAAATTCCTTAAAAAAATTATATCCATAACCGAAATTATCCGAAACTAACGGATAATCCGAAATAATTTCATATCCGCATCCGTATCCGTATCCGGTAGAATAATAATACCTATATCCGAAACCTATCCGTATCCGATATTTCATATCCATAAAATCCCTGATACTAACCTACATAGAATGCTAAGAAATTATCCAATCGTCACCTTATCTCAATGGCTTAAGATTTCAACTTCCTTATCAATTATTCTGAATATTATTAAATTAATTGTATGCTAATTACGACCTTAAACTTTATAGGTCTAAGTAGAAATTACAATGGGCAAGGTAAGGACCAGAACGACATACTTTTCTCTATTCGTTTAAGGCGCAATTAGGGTTGTCACTTTCTTTGTGTAAAGTTACTTTATTAAAGCTACTAGCTGTACACGCGACTTCGTCCGCGTGGATTTCAACTTTATTTTTCAAAAATAAAAATAGACTAAGTTACTTCTTATTACATCAGCTACCTGGCAAAAAAAGTACCGTAAAAATCGGTAGGTACAGCCGTTTCAGAGATTAGCCGGAACAAACAGACAGACAGACAGACAAAAATTGTAAAAAATGTGGTTTTGGTGTATGTACCGTATTGATATTCATATGCATGTAGTAAAAAACTATTATTTCAATATTACAAATAAAATTGGAGTGTCTGTTTGTAATATTGAAATAACCGTTTTTTACTACATGCATATGAATATAAATACTGTACATACACCAAAATAACATTTATTACAATTTTGTATTTAGTCTGTTTGTTCCGGCTAATCTCTTAAATGGCTGTACCAATTTCGACGGGACTGTTTTTGGCATGTACCTGATGTAATAAGGAGTAACTTAGGCTACTTTTATTTTAGAAAATAAAGTTAAATTCCACGCGGACGAAGTCGCGGGAACGGCTAGTAGTATTAATAAGGAAGTAAGGATTAATATCTATATTGATACCATTTATAATAGAGACAAACAAACATACATCACAGTGTAAGTAGTCCATGAATATAACCTCGAAATAAATACACAAGGAAATGATTACATGAACAATGGAGTTGTATATATAAATATGTACTAGCTGTTCCCGCGACTTCGTCCGCGTGAATTTTAACATTATTTTTCCACAATAAAAGATTTTTACTAAAATGAAAGTAGCCTAAGTAACTCCTAATTACAGCAGCTACCTGCAAAAAAAGTCCCGTCGATATCGGTCTAGCCATTTCAGAGATTAGCCGGAACAACAAACGATATAGATCCAATTGAGAAGAACTGGCAACAAACTCAATTGAATTACTTTTTTTAAAAAGCCATTTTATTTACAACTTGCTGTACCCGCGACTTCGTCCGCGTGGAATTTAACTTTATTTTTTCTAAAATAAAAGTAGTCTAAGTTACTCCTTATTACAGCAGCTACCTGCCAAAAAAAGTCCCGTCGAAATCGGTCCAGCCATTTCAGAGATTAGCCGGAACAAACAGACAGACAGACAAAAATGGTAAAAAATGTTATTTTAGTATATGTACCGTATTTATATTCATATGCATGTAGTAAAAAACGGTTATTTCAATATTACAAACAGACACTCCAATTTTATTTATATGTATAGATTTGATAGAGGGCTGAGATTAGATAATTATGTTATAAATGAGTCTGCTTACCTCCACAGAATTGTATGGAAGTACATGTTAGTCTTGTATGACAGTTGCATGTATGATTTATGATACTAATAGCAACCCTGGACAACACAGCGCCATCTAGTCTCAAACTAAGCAGAGCGTGTGTTATGGGTACTAGACAACTGATATAAATACTTAGATATGTTTCTACAAAATAGATATCTAAATATATATAACTCAAAGGTGACTGACATAGTGATCTATCAACGCACAGCCCAAACCACTGGACGGATCGGGCTGAAATTTGGCATGCAGGTAGATGTTATGACGTAGGCATCCGCTAAGAAAGGATTTTGATTAATTCTACCCCCAAGGAGATAAAATAGGGGATGAAATTTTGTCAATTTTAAACCGAGCGGGCTGAGACTTTGCATGCATAAAGCTACTACGGCGTAGGCATCCCCTAAGAAAGGATTTTGATGAATTCCAACTCAAAATATGCAGTTATAATGGTCGCGAGTTTGATACCCCGCACGGTACAAACATTTGTATTCATGAGTATGATTGTTTGTATCATTAACGCGAGCCAAGTCGCGGTCAAAAGCTAGTAAACTATATTACTGTAAAGTTTCATTAGAATCCGTTCAGTGATTTTTGCGTGAAAGAGTAACTGTTAATACTCGTACTAGCACAGATAACATAATTATACTAGTATTATGTAATATTATATTATCTGTGCCTTTTAATATCGCATACAGCTATGACGCGCTCGTCATCGTACTGCGGCTGCGCGCCGTGCAATATTGTGAATCTGTGGCGCGTTACGTTTGCGCGGGAAAACTAAAAACAAAATGGCTTCTTCTGCAGACGTACTAATTCATTATTGTGCTCCTAATTTTTAATATTACACTGTGTGTACTATATAGATACGTATAATAAAATAAATTAAATATTGTAATGGGTGAAAACTGTGATTGGTACAGTTTATGCTGTAAATAATATAAATGACGTAGTGGAGTAACTTGAAACAATCATGCTCGCTATAAAGTTCAAACTTGTGGCGGCGTGGTGGACCGGGTCGATGTGCTCCCTCTAATATGGTTGAGTGCAATGATGGCTGGCTCATCCGTCATACTCGTGAACGGGTGCTGCTTGTGGGGACTGGTCTGTTCGGGTTACGAACACTGATTACACTATTTGCTTTAGCAATAGCGTATGCTGGTGGTCACTCTATTCT